AAAAATATAATACTTTTATTTTAGTCATATTTATTTTAAATAACGTACATATTGTTGCTCAATGGAGCGAGAAGATGGTGGTCTCTTCCGTCTGGAGGGAAATGTAAACAAGTTTTATTAATATATTAAAAATAAATAATAATTTAAAAATATAAATAAATATATAATAATAATTACTCTTAAAAGTAAATAAAATTTAAATGTAAATAAATCTATAATAATAATTAAATAAATATATAGGTTTGTAAATAATTACAAACAATCAAATGTAGAAACCAATTAATATATATTCAGATGTACAATGTGGTAATATTTATTATATTTAATCATATAAATTTCACGGAACGTTTCGATTTGACTTAATTAGTCCTTTTCAATCGTGAATATAGATTATAATCCCGTACAATGAAATTATACTAACACATAATAAAAATTGACGATCAAATATTCAATATGTCATATTATGAGGATCATCTCACCTTCACTTACAAATAAACGCATCAAAAACAACCATATTATATTAAGTCAGATTGTAAAATAATATAATAATGTCATAAATTCAACCAATTCTTCGGTTAACGGCGAGAAAAAGCAGTCAAAGCCTTTAGAAACAAGGAGAAAATCCCAGTCGAAAGTATTGTTAAAGCGTAATTTCAAAGTTATATAAAATAGTAAATATATCAAAGTTATATAAAATAGTAGATGTAGAGTCCACAAATATTGGTAGATTGAATGAAATAATTATGAAGGTAAAAATGTATAAAACATATGCATGTACATTTTCCGTGAAATTTATACATCTATAATTGAATAAGATAAATATTACCACATCTACATATAATTCGTTTTTATTTGTTTCTATATTTAATTATTTGTAAATTACACGAGCGGAAAAGGAATATTAATTATTAATTTTTAATTTGTGACTCTTTAAAATGATTACCTTCTCAATTATTATAATGTTAAAAAATTCATTTTTTACATTTCCTTGGGTGCGTGCGCGCGCGCGCGCGCGTGTGTGTGTAAGATGTAATCGGAATGTCGGAAATAATTAAACAATTATCAGAAAAATTAGGCTGCTTTATTTTATTCACGTTATTAATCATACTAAAATGTTTCCTCTGAAAAATCGTCAGACTATTTATAATTATTATATATATTTATTCTTCGTTGCGTTCGATAACAAAATATTATGGGAATTGAAAATTTATGTTCGATCGTTTTACTCTACACATCGTAATACATTTTGTTTCTTTATGTGACAAAATTTCTATCTCCCTTTTTCAAATATGCTGCAGTCATAATAAATTTATAATAAGGTAAATATCTCAATAACTGAATTAATTAGAAAGTGTGAATAATTCTATATTGTTATTAACTGATATGTGTTTTACAAAAAGTCATTTCTGTCTTTTCGAAGTGTCACAGTATAATCTTTGAAATTTTTTCCATTGAATACGAGACCGTTGACGAAGTCTTGTATATTGGAATGTAACATACAGTAGACTGGAGTGATCCATTTTACTTTTATTTAATAAAAATTCCGATGTGCTATGCAATCATAATAACCGATCAAGTTTAGCGCGAAAACAATTTCAGAGTATGTAACGATTAGAGTCCGGATCGCGGTGCTGTTTATTCCCAATCCAAGCGCCGCGCGCCACGAGAAGCAATGCCGGCGCGGCGGTGTAAACGGCAGTGCTTCTCGCGGCGTGCGGTGCTTGAAGTGGGAATAAACAGCACCGCAATCAGGACTCTGAACTAATGACACTTCAAATAGAAGAAAAACAACAATTTTTGTTCCTTTTTCTGTTGGTGATCGAAAAATATTACATACATATAATTTGAAAAGAGTATTTAAGTCAAATTTTGTTAATATGTATATTGCACTATACCAATTATACCATTAACTGAACTAGAAAATTTTAAATATTATGTCTTATTTAAGACGATAAGAAAATGAAAATATATAATTGTTCTTGTAAAACTTTCTCGTACCGGAACTTGCAAGGATAAATATTGAGATGGAGGATAGAACAAAAATTTTCTGCTTTAAAATAAATTTCCTGTTTTAAAAACAAAAATTTTCTTTGAAAACATTATTTTCTTATAATTTTTGTTTTTATACAATAGTGCATACACGGAGAAAACTGCGCAGCGATGATTACTGTGCCGAGAAAAAATTTTTACTTCGCAATAACAGTTATTATGCATGCGCTAGTTATCGCTGTCCGAATAGCGATCATCATATATGTAGAGGCGCACGACTTTCTATGCGAAGAGACTTTCACCCCACCTCCCCCCTGCTTCAGAGTGTATGACTTCCCGTGCGAAGCGACTCCATCTCATTGGCTTTGGGTTTCGCTAAGGTTTTAGCCATCGCTCGTTATTCATTAAAAAATTATTAGCAGTTAAAGTTAGTAATTATTTTCCTGCATGAAGAATCAGATAATTTTAACCGAGCAGAGAGGTATGAGGTGGTCGAATTCAAGGAATATAACTTTCCACGCGAATGACTTTCACCCCACTTTCCCCTCTGACAAGGTGCGTACGATTTTTCATTAAAGCACGCATGGTCGTACGCATCTTGTCAGAGAGGGAGATGGGGTGAATGTCGTTCGCGTGGAAAATTATATTCCTTGAATTCGTCCACCTCATACCTCTCTGCTCGTTTGAAGTCATCTGACTCTTCATGTAAAAAAAGCAGGGAAATAATTACTAGCTTTAACTGTTAATACTTTTGTAACGAATAACGAGCGATGGCTAAAACCTAGGAGATGGGGTGGAAAATGCTTTGTTTGGAAAATTGTATGCCCCGAAGCAACGGCGATGACTCCCTTTCAATATTTACCCTTGCAATCATTTCAGTAACTCACACGCGTTTCATGAAAATCGTTCACTTGCACTCGCGCTCCCGTACAAAATTACTGCTCCTGTAGGAAAGACATAACGGTAAAAATAGAATCATACATTGAAAAAAAAGATTGGCTGCTGCAATAATTAAACTAGATGGTAAAATATAGCTTTTTTAATTGTCTGCAATAGTCAATTTTTGGTTGCTTTAGCCTATCTGCAATATTAATATAGGATTTTGATAAGCTAATGCAACTCGTAACACAATCAAAAATTGCTGGAACCAATTAAAAATGCTATGCCATCTTCAGCCAATCTTTTCTTTCAGTGCACAATGCTCAATTTCTTGAATGATAAATATGCATGCATGCTTATTATTCAAGAAATTGAGCATCGTGTGATTTCATCATAACTTTATTGTGCGGGAAAATACAGAGCCTCAGCGGAAACATAATGGCAGCTCGAGCGAAACTCAGTCTATTAACCCGTATTGATTTTCCTTAGGTCAACTGTACTCATATCAAGAGGACCAAAGTAGTAGAACTCCAGAGACACGACAATATTGTTAATTTTTCAATCACTTTGTTGTCGTTCATTGCGCATTATTATGTTATTCTAATGATATCGTTACAATAGAAACGACCAAATGCACAATCCGATCATCACGATACTTGACATATACGCTAATGAGTTAGGAAGATGGATATTGTAAATACTTTCCCGTTTAATCAGCCATAATGGAACGATGACTTGGAGAATATCCGGTATCATAAAGCCCAAATCGCGTATGACCTGCAATAAATATTTTAAACTATTAATAATATTGTCAATCTAAGTTCAATGATAGAATATCGTTACTGATACGTAAATTTTATGTACAAGAAAATAGGCCACTCTTAATTAATGTATATGTAAGTAATAGAAGTTTTAATAACTTGTCCTTGCTTTTAGTGTAACAGATTGAAGCTGTAATTACTGAAAGAACATAACTTAATGCTCAATAAATACGTAAAATTTATGCATCAATATAGTACTAGAGTTACAACATAGTTCTAGAATAATAAAGTATATATCTATGTATTATTTCATTGTAAAAGTTATATTATACTACTGTTTTCAGAAACTTTATATAAAGCAATTTTAATGTACATTAATCCAATGTAATGTGAGCAATCAAATTTATTTCATTATTATTTGTGGATTCTCACCTGGTGTGCGTGACCCTCTCCTCTAACGACATTTTCAAAGAATTGGTCCCACCCACCAGCCACGATATGTAAAAAGGCTATCGCAGCAATGCCGAAAGCCTTTCTGTGTGTGATTGGATTTTTCTTATCCGCAAGGGAGACAACCCAAGCCGTAGATATTAATTCAGTAATTGTAAAAAACAACTGGTGGTACCACTGAGAGTAGAAGTCGTCGTTCCAGTAATTAATATAGACCCACCACGAGTAGTAATTGGAGAACAGAGCGGTTGAAAAGAGGAGCATCATAGACTGTCTTAGTCTCTGTTTGATGGCCAGTTTCGCCAAATGTTTCATTGTTTCGTAAAACACGATTACTCCAATGACGATGAGTATCCATATTTTCAACATATTCGAAGTAGCATTAAAGTACATGTGTTTGTAAGGAGCGATGCCGGATTCGTATGAGCCTGTCAAAAAATTTTGGTTTCTATAGTTGGATCTGCGATTTGCTATTTAGTAGTTTCATGCCTATTTCGACTAATATAAATTAATTTTAATTATCTTGATTCAATTTATTCTTTATCTTTTTCTAGTTTTAAGAATTAGAACTAGCCGATATAGCATAGATTTTCAAAGAACATTCTAAAAACATCCAGAGGATATTCTTATGTTCTCTGAATATTCTAAGGATGTATCTTGGATAAAATATGTTATGTAGAAGAAAATTAATCTTGATTCAACTTATTTTTCATCTTTTTCTAAGAATTAAAAAATTATAAAAAGTTCTAATTAGTTTTAGGATCCTGAAAATTAAAAAAGGATAGAGAGTAAATTCAATCGAGATTAAAATTAATCTACTTTAGTGAGAAAACAGCATAGAAATATATTTCTAGAATATTTTAGTGTTACCTTTAAAGACAGTGTCCCAGCACGAGCAGGAGCAGTACCGCTTATCCACGATCCTCGAATAATCCTGCCAGAAATAATATAAAATTGCAATCTGTAATGGTGGAATTGTTAAGGGTCCTATTATGCCCACGAATCTCGATCCGTTTGTTGCAATGTTTCTGCACAGGGTACGCTTCAGCATTTTTAATATAGCCATTTTGATTTAATAGACGTATTACAAACAGATGTATAATATATATATGTATATACTTATATACATATGTGTTTATGTATTACGAATAAACACTTGTATAATTAAACAGAGCTGAGAACGTTACCTGAAAAATAACGTCTTAACGTTACAGATGCTTTTTATTAAAAATAACTCGTTACCATTATTAGTTATTTATTTTAAAAATTATTTTAAAATTATTTTAAAAAGTAACGCATTACCATTACTAGTTATTTAATTTAAAAAGTAACGATTGATCGTTATTTTTTCGTTACTGTTGAAATTGTTGAGTTTAGCCCTCTCACGTTTGATATTAATAAAATTAAGTCATTCGATGTATTTTTACACAAAACGACGGAATCTGATAAAAATAGTTGCCGCCCTGTTCCGCGAAACGAGATTATAATTTTTAAATTTGACGATTATTCAGGTTAAGAAACCTGTCATACTGAGCATGTGCTGTAGTCACATTCTTTACAACTTAAGATAAGAAAATTTTTATTTTTAATTAATCAAAGCAGAGAATATGTGTAGACATACATTTTGCATCACAAAATATTCTTTGCTATAATTTAAATTATATAAGAAAATTTGTGCTTTTAATGATATAAAGCGGAAAATATATTTAATTTTGAGAAATTTAGTGATGTTGCAAGATTTAATTTACCGCACTCACACTTTTAAAACATTATATAATTTGTTCATTAAAATTAACTCCTTTTTTTAAACAAATTTAACCAATATTTTTGTATCATATCTTGGATTATTTGAACGAATTTCATGCCAAATTCTATCAAACAGCACATTATGCTCGTGTCACTGCTTTTCACCAGTATAACAGGTTTCCTAACCTAAATAGTCGTCAAATTAAATGATTATATCTCGTTTTATAAGGCAGAGTGACAATTGTTTTCTGCCTGATTCCATCGTTTTGTGCAAAAACACGTCGAATGAGTCTAATTTTATCAATTTTATCATTCCACGTGAGAGAACTAAATTCAACAATTTTAATTTTTCAATTTAAATTTAACATTCTTTTTAAACACTGGTGGTGTAATTAAAAGCCGCAGCACAGACTTTTGTATAACGCATATAGTGCATAAGGGAATTAATCAGTATCTTTCCTTCCCTTCTATTTCACAGGAAAAAGAGGAACTTTCTGGTTGATTCTCTTATGCACTATGTGTTATGCGTCAAAAATCTATGCTGAGATCTTAGAGCCATAGTACGAATCGCACGAATATTGCCGTAGTATCGCAGCGCCTTATGCCATTTTATGTCAGAGCCTTGCGTTACTTCACATATAGACATAACGTATAAGCAACATACAAAGAAAAATATAGCACGAACTCTTTACTATTTCTTACGCTATATTCTTTTCTGTACGGTATTTACGTTATATTTTAACAGATGACATAAAATGACATAAGGTGTTACGACAATGTTTGTGCGGTGGCCCTTAAGCTGATATTATACATTTGTCATATGATAAGGATTTTAAATTTATTGATTAACCACAGGATAAACAGATCCGACAACTTCTCTTTCTTGTCAATCAATAGACTTGAAATGTTTGGTCATACGACAAATGTAATATTAGTCTGGAATGTATTTAAGATTCACTTCGGTACTGAAAATCCATAGTATATATGTTAATGTAAATTACAATTTTTCAATACTGACAGTGATTATCGGAATGCAGCCTAAGATATAAAATATAAAATAGCAATTTAAAAAAATAAATTTTTTAGGAAATAAAATTTTTGAGAAAATAAAATGATAAAATAATTTTATAATTGCATTTATTGCATATAATAACCTTTTACTATACAATGTTAAATTATAAATACATATTTGCTTGGAATAGATGTATCATAATTCACAAGCATTAAAAAAAATTTAAATATTTTGTTCATTTGTTATAACAACACAACTTTTGCTGGGTTCAGATTTTCACCCGAGTATCACCCAAGTATTATTTCTTCCTTGTTGTTTACCGAACGTTAAATAAGGATGACGACATTCAAGGAGCATCTGGGGTGAAAATCCGAATATGCCGTTGATAACTACATAGAAATACTTCTAAAGACATTAGGTCTGTTCACATTGCTTGCACTTTTGGCACTTTTGACACTTCGCTTTCTCTCTTTTCAAAGTCAAATATATATCTATATATCTCATTTTAAGTGCAAAAATATTTCGGGATTTCATGCTACGCGAACAGACCTATTAAAGGCGAAACGTCTTTCAGCGCTAGCAATATCTAATCTGAACCATTTAATAAAAACTAGAAGTAACGATCGATCAAAGTAACGGTAAGTTCTGCCAATTTCAGCCAATTACAATGGACTACATCGTGAATGATTGAAGTAGGGCAACCTTTAATTGTAATCGTCAATAGTCTAATATGGATATAATTGACGACAGTTGACAATGAGATCTTATACTCGGAAATGCTCTGCATAATTAAAAACGCAAGCGCGTACGATCGAACATTTCCAACCCCTGCATCTTGTGATAGTTGCTCTCGCACTTGTAGATTTTGACACAGAACGCAGGAGCAAGCCTAGGAAATTTTCAGTTACACGTATATATATATGAGAGATTGTCACTTGAAGAGTTGGATATAAGGGGATACGCGCATGGATTTTGCGGGATAAGTATTGTTCGCAGGATTAATTTTGAACATCGTTCTAATTTCGATTTTGGCGAATGATTCTTGTAGAGAATTTCATAGCGCATCTTTTCTTTTGTGTTTAAACCAAATTTGTAACTTTTTTGTTTTCAAGTTATAAACGAAAAAAGTAATTTACAAGATTAAAAAATTCCATTATATTTTTGTGTTTAACTCCCGTCATATCTCAGCCAAATATGAACATTTTTCTTTTTAAAAACTTTAACGAAATAAACTTCAACATGTTTCTCGAAATATAAGACATATAAAAAGTTTTCGAAACATTTCACAGCCGAATGCCAAATTTTTCAAAATATTCCTCTCGAATTCGTAGTTTTATTCATTTGATCACAAAGGTTGTAAAGTAATATAACGATTTATGTATCAATCCGATTACGTAACGCACAATGCAAAAGCTGAATCGTTCGTTTCCGCGAAATGGAAATAGAGCTTAACTTTACCTGTTGCTAGATTCCGGCTTGTGTTATCATTTGGTAGTGTGTGGTGGGGGAAAAGTGGAAAAAGATGTCGA